CCCTCACTTCTCCCGCCATAATTTTACTGATCCTGTCGAATTACTTTCTCAGGTGTGATGCAGTACGGCAGCAGCTGATCTACCTTCTCAATCAGCTCCTCCAAGCAGGAAGTTTCGAATGGGCTTCTCTGGTTGCTCTAATGATACTGGATCGTACCGGACTGTTTCACGCCATAACCCTGGCAGTGGATGCTGCCACGCAATGCACTCTGCAGCGCCTTCGTCAACAACCCTCATCCGGTCTTTCCAACACGACAGTTCCCGCGGATTCCGGTCCCGGACCTCGTCCATCGGTCAGTCGAGCCGCGAATTTGTGGCGTCGTGTCACTGGTCATCATCAGCAGCAGCAGCCTACAACGCAATCGGGAACCGATGCGGACGATCCCGAGCACAATTCATCCCAATCCAGTCCGATATTCGGAGATCCTCTGAGTCGCGTGTTTGCCGGATTACATCAGTTGAACTCGTGGTCCGTGACCAATTGTCCCACTTATCATCGGTTTATAGGATTGCTTCAGCCGGAATTAGAGTAAGTTTCTATTCCAGACATCATACTGAGTCAGTTTTCTTGGTGTTCCACATTCAACTTCATCAGGTTTACTCTAAATGTGTATAAAAGGACCACGGGAATACGACAGCAAATGGAATCCTCAGCACCATTTGGCCTTCATGTAGTCGGGGGTAAATCAAAAGTGTTGTTTTGCGAAAGCGTTTTGAAACGTCTTGGATGGCTCTGGATTTAGTCTCACCTGCCTGTCCTACGCTTTGCCGTAGTTTGGTTCCTGTCTACTGAAGGATAGAAGTGTCAGCTGAAGTCTACACCTTGGGGCGTGCCCCAACTAGACGCGAATGCTCTCAAATTAAAGCTACTGCTGCTCCCTATCAGTACTTCTACACGTTATATATTCATAAATAGACTGGTTCTGAAGTGACTGACCAAAAAAATTTACCCTGTGCTACAAATGAAGTATTTGTGACGAAACCGTACTTCCTGGCTACGAGTGTATGAATGAACCGACAAAGCTCTACCGGATACGCATGTCTGACGAGCGGCAAAAACTGCGAAACCGGTCGTGTGCTTCCAGGGCGATTTCGGCCAAACCGCCATTCGAGGGATATGTTCCAACTTTTCCCAGATTGTACAGTGATGTTGCCTTGTGTAGAGGAAAACCATCTACCGCTCACGAGTTATATTTGACTTTATTGCATACAGAGAAATGCACAGAGCTATTAGGCGGATTGGGTGCCTTCCACCTTCAAAAGGCTCTGTAATTGGTTGGATGGAAACGGTAAAGGATATGGCAGCACTGTCAAAAGTCGGTTCTTCGGGAAATGCTCTCAATATATTTTCTCTAGTCCACTGGACACAAATCACATT